ATCTATTCGGGATGAGAAGCACCTGAAAGAAGTAAAGACCTTGGTCACCGAAGAAAGGTTCCAAAGGTCGCTACCCCCAGAAGCTCGAACAACCTCGGGACTCAAAGAGTAAGAGGAGTTGAGAAACCCTCCGCAACAACGAAGTTGTGCAACAGTCCAAGACCCCAAGCACCGCGGAGGTACAAAGGGTAGGGCGGGAGGGGAAAAGCTAACCTGAGCTGTTGGAGTCCTCGGGCCCAAAAGCTACAGGTCCGATGCCTGATGAGTTCATGCAGCAGAAAGGGCCCTACCCAACCAACCTACGTTTCTGCACACAAGAACTATCGAGGGCATTCAGAATGAAACAGTGGCTACTCACCGTCTAAGACAGTGGGTTCGACAGGTGATCTATTCGGGATGAAAAGCACCTGAAAGAAGTAAAGACCTTGGTCACCGAAGAAAGGTTCCAAAGGTCGCTACCCCCATAGTTCCCTAATCCCACTGTTTCAGCCTTTCAGCAGGTCGGCACGGATCTGAGAGCGGTATGCCGCCGCTGGAAAATTGTGAGACTCCAGGAACCATGTCTGGGAGAGTGACCAAGTGTCGAGGAGGCCATCTCGCGAAAGGCCATCACTGGGATTCGAATCTGAATCGATCCACTCGAACCAACATCTGCACTGTAACCTCGCCCTGAGAAGTGCAGCCATGTGTGCTATCTCAAAAACATCCTCCTCTGCACTAGCAGTCTTAACCGCAGCAGCCACTGCAGCCTGGTTGTCGATGAACCATAAGAGATCACGGCCTTTAAGGATGTCGGGGAGAAGCATCGGGAGGATGAGAAGGCACAACGCTTCCCCCGGGAAGATTTGCTGCTTGCGAGCGCCCGAAGCACCAGTAGATCCCGTTGATCCAGTCGAGGATTGTCGCCATATTGGCACCGCTGTAGCACCGGCGCAGCAAACCGAGCCGCAGAGCCGTTGCAGCTGGCAAAAAGCCATTGCAGGTCACCTCGAAGTTTACCCGCCTCATCTCGGGACAACGAAGCAGATTCCAAAGCCGCATCCAGCTTAGCACAGACTTTCTGCACCGACGAAATCTTGGGCTGGACACGCACCACTCCCAAGGAGTTTGCGGATCCCACGTGGACAGACGTGCCAAGGTAGCATCTGTCAGCCGAAGCCCAGAAGCGCTTAGAAGGCTGAGGAGGCGAGCCCATGAGAGAGAAAACCAAGTGGAGGCCTCCCTGGGAAACATCGGCATCACGAATGAACTCGAGGGAAAGCTCGTCATCGAAGTAAGCGGCGGTGAAAGCAGAGACCATGCGCCTGCAGGCTGCGATGCCCAGTAGAGGCATCCTGTTGAAAGCAACTACAGCAGCCTCCAAACCATATGCCACTCCCCACAAGATAGTGAAGTTCCATCCAGAGCCTGGGATCCATATGGAAACCACGCTAAAGCGGAGTTGGTCATCATCGACTGGGTGGCCCCTGTAGGCATCAGGAAGGTCGTCCGTGCCGAGGCGCACCGCCATCCAGTCGCAGGGTGGAGGCACAGCGTCAGAGCAATTTGGGAAGAGGGTCCGAAAAACATCCCGGACACAGCTTGCAACAAAGTCCACACTGACAGTATGAATGGTCTCCAGCATGTAGGTATGGGCATTATGACCGGTCTTTCGGGCATTGTCGATGACCCTTTGCTTCCCATCCGGCTGGGTGATCACAAAGCGCTCCAGGGGCCTCCATCGGCCCCGCCCAAATCGTTTGTCCACCTCTGCTCGAGACATGAGCGGACTGCAAAAGCCTTTCTGGATTTCTTCAAGCGTGACCTTCAGGATAACGTCATGATCCTTGGGAGGTCCCTTGGTCAAGAGGTCATCCACCACTGAAGCGCCCTCACGTCGCAGCCACTCTGCAGGGTCCTCCATATCGTCTGCAGTGCCGGTAAGAGCACGGAACACACCTGAGTATGGGACATCTCCAACGATAGGAAACCCCAAAACAAAGCTCTGGGCCTGTGTTAAGTCGGGCCAGCGGAGGAGGGCCGTTACAGCCGCAATGAAAGCAGGGTTTTTCTGAGGAGCAACTTTCTTAGCCGACCCACCAAGCAGCTCAGATAAAGCTTTCTGCAGTGGTGCAACGGCCTTAGAGATGCCCTTCAAGGCATCACGCTGGCGCTGCGCCAAGAGAGGCAAGTCAGGCCCCCACACGCGCAAAGTTTCGCACAAGAGAGCGATGTCAGCTTCAGGCCAAGGTTTAGGGTCAAAGGGGGAAGGGAGACGCACGGCTTCCGCAATATGCTCCTCCTTAC